CTATTCCATACAAATGAGTATATTATCCAGTATGGTACATGTCTCCTGCTATATCGGTCGATCTATTCCACTGGGTTCAAACCCTGTGGCGAACAATCTACTTGGAAGGCCCAAATCGTCCATGTCAGACCTAACATAAAAAACGAGGGGAAGATAGTTAGTATAAAGTAGATATACAATGATGTAATCAAAGTAAACATGATGGTAAAGTGAAGCAGGCTGGACATATAATATTGCAGAACAATCCATGTGGAATCGAACAACCGTGAATGGATAATATGGAAGTTCAATTCCATCCAGAATGGAACAAACTACAGACGTTCCATTCCATTCAGAATATTGAACCATCCAAAATGGAATGGAATATGTATCCAATCGAACAAACAGTGTATATATAATACATTCGGTGTTCTCTATCACGTATATTAACCAAAATATCAACTGTATGGAATAATACAACCACTAAATATTAAACCATAATCGCAAATAAGTTAACACTAAATCAAAATATAAACCATCAACCCAAATGTAAATCAAACACCTCAGATAAACGCTACATCAAATGGAATGGCACATAGTCAAATAACATAGTACTCAATGGTATGGAATCATAAATTTGTGAGCGTCATTACAATCCATTCGGAATGGTATAGACAGGAATACCATTCTATGTACATGGAATGGAATATACATTTATTTCGATACTATACCCTAAACTCCAATAACTTAACCCTAAACCTGACAGACCCACTAAACACTATACCCTAATCACAAATAGAAGAAAAATCATTGCAGGAATAGAATCAAAAGCACACAATCAAGAAGTTACAATATTGCAATATATCTCAGACGAATCGCCGATGTGAAATAGAAGAGGCTCAAGTTGTTCCTTCTTGGACTGTAATGACGTCTTCATGCAATCAATTTCAGAAGGGGAGATGATATACCCTTTGATACGTACTTCGAGAAGGTGAATGAACTTAGAAAAGGCCGATGGTGGTGACGGTGTAGAACAAAACGGTGTGTTCGAAGAGGTGGAGCAAACTATCAACAGAGACCTTTCGCTTATCAAAAGTTATCAAGAAAAATTAAAAGGGAGAATTTGCCAACTAACCAATTTTGGAGTTAAAATTAAGAAAATAGCTTTGCTTTTGACATTATTAAGTATATAACATTTCATACACGTTTTGTCCGGTTTTATCCTTACCATCTTCAAGTAGCCGGTGACAAAGAGATTAAGGGATTACGTCGGCGAGTGCATATGAAGCCAAGAGAAATTGAAATTGAAAATTGTTCAATTTATCAACAATTACCTCTGTCCAATTAATTACTGTAAACACTTGGTTAAATGTTTAATTTTTTCTGGTTTATTCTGCAACCATCGAACTGAATGCACATGTTGGAAGAAACATATGGATTATTGGTTATTGGGTTTTTAGTAGTTATGATGATGTCTTTTAAAATACAGAGTACGAGAACTTCCGTAAAGAAAAACGAAATGCAAACAGAGTGTGCAGAACAAGAAGAAACGATGGAGACGATGATGACATTGTTTTCTATGTACAAAAAATGGAATAGAATATTTGTAAATAGTACAAAATAAATAGTCCATTCTATTTACATAATCAAATTAATACTATACTTCTAATTCCATCTTCACCCTAAATACTAAACCCTAAATCCTAACTACTCAACCCTAAACCCTAATATAAAATATTAAAATGGTTACCCAAATGTTTTTGTATACATCTTGCTACTATTACATATGGAAAGTATTAGTTGGGTTGCTATTCCGTTTGGTACTATGGACTCACTTTGGGCTACATTATATGGTATCCATTATAAAACTTAAAATTATGTTCCACTGTGTAAATTCATACAATGAAAGGTAGATGAATTACACGCTTCAGAGTTAGTTATTTATACATATAACCTTTGTCTTTGATGGGAAGTAAATCGAATATGTAAGTTTTAAAAAATGAAGGCAAATATGAAACATACAACAGCATCAAGACATACATGCATACAATGTCTATTCTAATACGGTCTTGATCAGCTTGATCCACTGTAGGTTATAATAGTTGTTAACATGTTTCCACATTGGCTCAACCTGGTTCAAACAGTTTTCTTGGATGCCTAATTCATCCATGACAACCTGATAATAAGAAAGCCAAAAACACAAATTTACTCATTAGATTATAATTTTTTTATCAAAACAAGGTGGACAACGGAGTATAAAAGTTACTAGAATAGTATAGTTAAAATTAAAACTATTTTATCTGACCTACATTGCTCCATACTATGTATTTTCTAAAGTCTTATAAAGCATAAATTTCTACTATAAGCAGTAAATGTGTGGATACAATACATAGTATGGACATAGTATGGCCCATAAATGTTAGACCCTACCCAACATATTAAATACTAAAACTTAATATAAACCCGTAATTACTAACTCTAGACTTTAACACTGATGTATAAACCCAAATAGAATATATATATATAATATGCTACAAATTTCTCATACCGTACTAGACATAGTATGGAACTCTGATAATAGTATCGAAGGAGAAATTTACTCCATTTTGATTAAATAATAAAAACCAAGAAAAACCCATACTTAATAAATCTAAACCCTAATCACTGATTTATAAACCCAAATAAAATCTATACAATATACTATAAACTTTTGATTATGTATTAGATATAGTATGGAACCTCTATAAATAGAATAGAATTGGCACTTTACTCCATTTCCATTAGTTGTTGTAATGCTTAAATACTAAAACCCAAGAAAAAACCCTACTTACTAAATATAAACCCTAATCACTGATGTATATATCCAAAAAGAATTTAATAATATGTGATAAATAAAAAAATAGAGTGCTTATAATCAGAATACTCAACAAAATAAGCCGACGTACAATATGACAAAGAGTTGTGATGGCGATGGAGGAGATAGTATATATAAAACTACAAGTAAAAATATTCTATTTGCCTACAACATCCCATACTAAGAGTAACACTATTTATATGAACCAGACAATGTATCATGATATTACTATACAATCCATGCTTCTCATAATAAAAAAAAAAAGATAATGGAATGGAAAATACACAAATTAGAATAGGTTTTACGTGCTTAGATAGTATAGTAAACAAGCATAGCACAACAACCAATATATTTCTCATCACGAAGCGAGGTAAAAAAGAGTTAAAAAGATGATTAGGAAGAAGACACTAGAAACCGGAAGATAGTGTAGAATTGTTTGTGTACATTCTATACTATGTTCAAGCTTATTCGAGAGCGATATCTACTTAAGCATGATTACTATACAACACATAATCTTCATATCACAAGACAGATAACAAATATAGAATAGAATATACACAAAGTAGAATAATTTTTTTCCGAACTTATATAGTATAGTAAACAACCATAACTCAACAGCCAATAGTATTTGTCATCTCGATATGAGGTAAGAAAAAAATGAAAAAGACAATTACGAAGAAGATACAGGAAAACAAAACCGTTCCAGTAATAGTTAACCCATACTTTTCAAAGAGTAGACTACAATACAACCAAAAATCCTTGTCAAATTTCTAGTAGCTGCTAAAATCGTGACCATGAAAACAACAACAAAATCCAAATAAAATCAGATTCAGAGAAGCTCAGATCAGAACTTACAATAAGGTAAAGAGTTCTGAAATCGGGGTGTGAATGCGAATCAGCAAGGGTCGACGCGAATTCCGCCGGACTGTTACGTTCTCGTCTCTTATGTTGATTTTGAAAGCTACCGCCGCAAATTGGGGTATGAATGCGAACATGCGTCTTGTCGTAACCAGAAACTCAGACAACAGATCTTCTTTGCAAACACCTTCTCTTAGTTGAATTAGCACCATGATTGAAGTCGGGAAACACACAGTGGAGACAAGATGGAGTGAAACTATTAAACTTCTCCAATCGTTTCCAATAAAAAATTATTATGTGAAAATGTGTGATTCTAGAAAGAACACGATTTATTTTTGCAGAAGAATAATTATTGATTTAATATTTTTAGTAGCAGGTTTTCCAGTTCAAAATAGGGGCAATACGGCCATATTATATAAAAGGTAAAAGAAACAGTAAAAAGTTAGGGTAATTAGATAGATAGTGAATTATTAAATTATTGAACGCTATACAGTGCAATTTCCCAAATTAAAATAGATGATGTGAATCTAATTGCGCCACATCTACTTTAGACATTTAATAATTATAATTTTTTTTATCAGGTTGCACCGGTTGTCTACAAGGGTAAAATAGCATTATTACATAAAATAGAATGTGTGTATTGAAAAGCTAGGTCAATTGTCTATTTAATGAATTATGTTTTTTTTCTTTGTCATACACTCCAATTCCCCAAAAAAAAAAAAGTAAATTGGATAACGTTAATTTAGGAAACTAGAGAACACTGGACCCACTCTTTGGCGCAGCGACATTTGCGCGCGTCCTCCACGTCAGTCTTTTGCCATTTACCGCCACCGTTATGGCCCCACGCGCCAGTTCAATGCTATGTCCTAACGGCTAGTCAAACCTACGCTTAAAATCTGCTACTGTCCAACTTGAACTTGACCCACTCCTCAAGTCTTTTCAGCATCAGTTCACTCCGGTATATATGAAAAGTTGAAATGGCTTTTTCATTGTCGCTTTTGGTTTGCTGGACTGGCACGCACAACCCACGACTTATACCACATTACCACTTGCTTCATCTTTTTCCTTGTATGGAATATAAACACAAAAGTAATAATGGTTCAACAAAAGCATATGCTAGTGAAAAACCCATCTCGTGAAAGTGACGTTGATATATGGAGTAAAGACTAGTCGTTGAACCACGAAACTTGCCTCTTTATTTGGTGCAGTTTCACACAAAAGACATTGGTAAGTGGGTATAAACCTAACCCACGATTCAGCAACCCCTTTCGAAATTAAAGATCTGACACTTATGTCAAAGATTCGTGTTTCATCATCAACATGGGTAAAATAATAAAGAATGAACAGTTTTTAATATCCAAGATAAAGAAACAGTTTCAACTAGTTACAATATTTTAGGACATTTACAATTTACTAATATTGTTAGTTCACGAGGAAAGATTAACATGGAGACTCGCGTTCTTTAGAGATTTACAGACCGGACAAGTGTTAAGCGAAGAACCACAAACAGTGCATAGACACATGTGTCTACATGGTAACAGTAACACACTTGCTTCTCGTTCTCCACAGCTTCTACACATCGTCCTTGAAATCATACGCACCCTTTTCGTATCCTGCGCCTCTCCCACTAACCTCCACCGCTCGTCACTATCACCCTCGTCGTTGCTTCCGCAACAAGACTGCGTGTCGTCAGCCGCCGTATGCTCCTCCCTACGTTCCACGTCGGCAAGGACTTGTTGTAAGTTTGAACGTAGGGAGTTTACCGTGGCTTCATTAGACTGTGCCACGTCACGCCATATTTGATTCTCTACGCATAGAGACTTAATCTTCTCTTCGAGAAAGAGGTTTAGTTTTCCTATGTGATTGATCTCTTCTTCTTTGGCTCTCAATGTCTTCATCAACCCTTGTTCGATAGCTTCTATTATTTTTCTGCCTTGTGTATTTCTATTCTTCTCGATCTCCATTCTCATTATCTCGACCTGGTAACATGTCGTAGAACGTTAGTTGATGTGAACCATAAAAACTATAATATAATGTTTCAGTATACATATAATGACTAATGAGAGAGCTTACGTGGTTAGAGATCAAGCGATCGATATCGAAACTATGATGTTGGACGTTAGACGACAAGTCTTGGCCGAGGAACATGAGAGGATCAGTGCAACGTTTCTGGCTTGGCATAACGATAGATTCTTCTCTAGGGCGTTTTCTCAGAGATGAGGAGGAACTAGGACGAAAAAAGTCAACGTTGTTGCCATTATTCTCTCTGTTGAACGTGACGGAGCTGTCAACGGAATCAATTTTCGGTTTCATAGACTGGTGAACAAAACAATCAACCGGTGAGATGTTGTAAACTGGATTCAACGGAGAGGTTTGACACTCCATGGTAGGGTTAAACGGCGTCGCTGCTGCTGGAAAGTTGATGTATCTGAACTGGTTGTTATAGACGAAACCGTTTGCTTCAAGTGGATGAATCATTTCTCTGTTAAGAAAATCACCCGCGACGTTAGGAGAACACATAGGGTTAAGATGGTGAGCTTCAACGGCCATCGACGTTTCTGACCTGAGAGACTGGTTTAGAGTTATTGAATGGAACCTTTAGAAACTTGAAAGATGGTGGTGGAAGAAGTAACGGATGTTGTGGGGTTTTCAAATTATGGTTTTGTAGAGAGGAAGAAGAAAAAAACTAAAAGCAAATATTAAAGCAGAAACCAACACAGCCTTGTCTGCCAATTTATAGAGAACAGAGAGGGAAATGTGATGTGTCTTTAATAAATTTATTTTTTGGTGCAGTTTTGTTGTTTTCTGTATATTTTTATTGTTGAAAACGTAACTTTGCTATTATCGAAAGTAAAATAAAACATTAAGCACTAGGATTCTTACGTTATCAAGCTGACCAGTGACCCATTAAAAAGTTGCCTTTTCAGTGTTTCTTTATGAGAAAAAACAAACTTTGACAATGACACATGCAAAATCTTTGGCTCAGAGTTACGGTCAAAATCATAATATCTATATCTGACTCTTTTACTTTCTTTGTTTCTTACTTTAAACTTCTTGTTTCTCTTATTACTTTTGCTTAACTCTTGTCTTGTTTTCTTCTTCTTCTTCGTCATTAACTTCACTGGTCAAAACTGACAATTAATAAAATCTTCATTGGTTACAATAATGTTTGGTGTAAGTAACCGTGGAAGATTCATTGTATTGTATATGTATGCATACTTAAATGCTGATATATAAATGCCAAAAATTATGGTACTACAAAAGAGGTGGCTCATGTGACAAGAGTTGTGTATCTTGTGACTATCTTAAATTATTAATTTTTTTTTTCTTAAATTATTAGCTACCGTATCGTTTTGAAACTTGACAGTAAATAACGTAATTCCCAAACCATACGTGCATACATTGCATTGAATTGTATAATACATGCCAACTCTGGCTAAAATTCATATAATACCAGTTTAGCCAAAAATTTATAAAAATTAAAAATACCATTCCATATTTAATATTTAACAAGGACATAAATTTCTATGTTTTACCAGCTAAGTACATAGAATCGAACATGCATGCATGTCGGCATGTTCAAATTTACTCTTATTTTTTTTTAACTCTGAATTAATTGCTCTGCAATCTGCATGCGCGAATTTGAAACTTCAAAGTTCAGAAATTCTGAATCAATTAATATTATTATTTGCTTTCAAAAATAATAATAATATTATTTTAGTTTTAGAAAACGGAAAATACAAAAAAAGAGTGATGCCTTATCCGTTTCGACATGCTTGGACAAGCTAAGTTAGATTCCAACGGGGGGAATCCGTAAACGGAGCTGGGGACTAGATACCATACGGTTACTGACAATGCCACGTGTGGACATAATCTTAATGTGTAGGACCTTTCCACGTGTGATGGAGTTGCCGGGATACGAGGGTCGCATGGGCACGTCTGAAGAGCCAGCTTGGCATTATTCATCAATTTATTTTAATTTTAGTTTAATGAGAAAACTTGAGAAGAAAATTAATTAATTAATCTCTTTTTCTTTAGTATCATCGGTTTGGCGTATCCATCTCTAATTAAAAAAATTATTGCTGACGCTTCTTCTGTGAACATTTTTTCATATTTGTTTTAGTAATGTCTTCTTATCAACAAAGTGTTTGTGGTGTCCTACGTTCAACTCAGCTAGGTGGATACTTAACTGGGTATATGTTTTTTGGTTAGAAAATGCGTATATGTTTTCTCAAAAAAAGTATTTTGGTTTATCAAAATGCGTATATTAAAATGGTTGATATTTTACAAGTTTATCTGGTTATACATCACTTATTAGTCTGTAGTTGATTTTTACTCAAAATGATACTTTAATAATAAAATAAGTGTTGACCAAAAGTTTATAATGGTATTAATATACGTTTCAGCTATAATTCATAATAGTAATATCTGCACCGAATGTCAAAGCTTAAGTTCTCATTTCAACATTATCGTTTAGTTTAATTGATTAATAAAAGAAAGATACGTTTTCATACATTAGTTAAAACCTTGTGCTTATCTTATTTCCATCATGTGTTTAGTCCGCCATAGCGTATGTATTTATGAAATCAACCTAACTCTTCCAAAATTTCAACAAATAATTTCAGATGAAGAATAATCCCGTTGAAACATCTATGATCATATAGCTAATATGTAGACACATGGAATGATGTTACCATGAGATCATTTTTTTGTTGGGTTCATTTATTACACGAATTTACAGCTTTTCTTTGTGAGTGCGGCTGTGCTGCTGGTAACCTCATTTTCTGGCGATCAAATGTAGACACTGAGGAAATAAACTAATGACGAATGAATTATTACAGTTTATGATTAAACTTTTATTTGATGCACACTAACATTATTATATGCCTCTCTTCGTGCTCTAGCATAGCTAATGCATTAAGATGGGCATGCCTTTTGCATCATCTGCTTTTCAGACCATTATCTTTATATAATTACTATTTAGTCGTATACTCGTATCAGGCATTTTATTATTGTCTGGGTCCACCTGATATCGTAGTATCAAACCATTATCGTTTCGTTTTTCATCGCTCACAAAAGATAATAAATAAAATACAGGTTGTCTAATAGCAAAAAGCAGTGGCTCGTTCTAAAAAGGCACATTCCCATAGAATTAAAGTATTAAACTATAAGACTTGCATAAGCATCAGATAAACTTATAGTATAATGGTATCAACATGCTCATCATCTCCCTTTAATACTACCAAAAATTAATATCAATTTAAGTCAATGGATTTGGCTTGCCTGCTTTGAGCGCAAATGCATATGACTGATCGATTCATTGAGGCAAAGTAGGTCAGTGGTTCATTTTCTTTCCGTTCGATAGTTGAACTTACAAAAGTCGTTGATCTATTATTCACATCATCTCAACCGCTCAACTCACAATGTCACACAAACATAATTGCACATCTAGTTTTGTCACGGAACAAATTATATTATTCCTTTATCGAGGGAATCTCGTTTTCATCATCCCTATAGGCATAAAATATTGTGTAGTGTCCGTAAGGTCCTCTACCATATATTCTTGATAGAGGTCGTCATCTAAGCCATACATAGATGTATAAAAATTGTGTACTTGTTGTATTTGTATATATATAAAGGTACAGAATAATGCACATCCCGTATATTAAATATGAATGTTATGTATTCACGGCATCGGAAAAGTTGGATGATCGCAAGAGAATTGGATACGGCTCGAGAGATGTGATGGCATCACATATGTATTGGAGAAAGTGGAACAATGTGTCATTATAATTCATAAACCTCAACAATGTACGTTTCCACTTTTTATTACTTTCATCAACAATATACTCCAAATATATTTTTATTTTACCATTAAAAGTCGAATTCATTTTTTTTTAAGATTGTAGGTTTCCTTAATACAAAAACATGAACTCAAGCTTCTACTAGACAAAACAAACTAATATAAATTGACAGCAACAACTTATTAATTGATAATAATTATAGTCTAACATATTTTTCTGTATTTAAGTGATTGATGTTTTAGATTTTATTTTTGTATACGAAAATTGATGTTTTATAAGAAAGGTAAGGAATTTGTCTTTTAAAATTAAAACATAAATTAAAATGAAATATGAATTGTGAGATTTGTATTGGTAAAACCAAAAAAGTAATAGATAAAATAATATATTTAACTTTTCTTAAAATGTGTGAAATTACAAACATCAGTTTTTAATATACATAGGAAGTATATCACTATATAAGAATTAAAAGCTATGGTGGTACTAAAAGTTATAAATGTTAGAACATTCATATAACATATTCATGGTTTTTCAAGGGATATCTTAACAATAACTAAACTGAAAAATGTAAAAGAGGTGGAAAGAGAGAATACAGTTCTTGTTTGGAGACTCTCTAAATGAGAAGAAACACATTAATGTGTAGTCACACTCTGATTGCTTGTAATTTTTGTTTAAATTATAAAGATTTATGAAAAACCTTTTTGGGTATCTGATGACTAATGATGCTTCAAGTAACTAAAATGGGAGATTTTAGTGGCGAAATGAGGTGCATGCATAGGCAAATCGATTGCATTTTCAACATCTTACTTCTATAGGAAACACAATACACTAGGATCTTACTTTCCACTTCATGCAACAATTATATATATTCAACGTTTTTTTACCGTTGCACTCGATTTCATGCACCAACCCATGTGGACCCAACTAATCTATCTGCTAAAGTGATATGAGTAGAACAGCAAAGATATCATATGAATTTTCAAGTCTTAAATACGTTGCGTGGATCCAAGGCAATTTGTAGATAGATCGAGACGGGGCCGTAATTAGCGATGCTTGTATAAAATCATAATGTAACAGATCATAAAAGAAAGCCCTCTATTATCACTCTTACGCTTTCACCTAATCCTTGTGACCCATTCCCACGTTAACGTTCCATTTGGAATTATTATCTCACTTTTCCATGTAAGATATGAATCATTTTATCCCCTGTTGATAATTCAAGTTCAACTAAACTTGTCATATTTAACTAATTTACTAGCATGCTAAGAGCATGAGCATTGAGAGATAAAGTGAAAAGTTCACACGTTTCCCAGAAAAATATATTAAAATAATCTATAATTTTGTTGACTCCGTGTCGCGTGGGCTCACTGCAATGATACCGAGTCGTCATTGTTTCATGGGCTCTACGTCACGTGACGACCCACAATTGATTCACTTATTTTTTTTTAAATAACAAATGAAAAAACAAGATGGAGAAATTTGCTTGCAGCGTCGGTAGTAAGTTGCCGCCGGCGACTATAACTAGTGATCGTGTCCGTGTTTTCATCAACGCTGTAAATATTAGCGGTTGACGCCGACGCTGCGTCTCAAATATTATTAACTTTTAACTTTCTATTCTAACTTATTGCTGACCTGGAATTTGAAATCCTTTTATATTTCCTTGCTGCTCGGTGCTGAGACTTCGTCTCAAAAACGAACAGGGCTGAAATAACAAAATTCTTGGGTGAAGAAGACAAGTGAATCATCACCTCACTCGCCCACCCACTACACACATATTGACATATACAGAAATGAGTGAAACTGAAAGGTCTTTTTCTAAATGCATATAAGGATTAATACATAATAAAGACATGACTATATTAATTGTGAGACGATGAGAAGACGTGAAT